GACAGGGAGAGGCCAGAGGCTGTTTAGACCTCTGTTGCCTTCTTAAGAAATGCGTTGGGTTCGTAAGGATCCGCAGCGCTTAGAGATCTTCACGCTCTCCCTCTCGGACTCCAATTGCTTTCTCTCCAACTTGGGCGGAAACCAGCCAAGCTCTTTATACGGCTAGCAAGCCAATTGCTAGCCGCCACGTGTGCATAATTTAACACAAGCCAATAATGGGGCTCGAATTAAAATACAAATGGTGGGAACTCCTTTGCACTGTGCATTTCTGAGATGTAAAGAAATGCACCATGCAAAGAAAGCTACAAATTTGGTGGGAAAACTCTCCGTTGCACCGGAGTTCTCCTCTGTAGCAGAGAACTCCACCGTGCAAAGAAACTGCAATTTAGCGGGAACATAATTTAGTGCCGAAGCGCACACAAACAAAAACTCACAACTTTGGGTTGTGACACTCACCAGTGGATTGAGTCTTTCAGACTCTGGCTCACAGGGCACAAACAGAAGTGGCACCTTAGGGAACTTGTATACAGTTCCCTATGAGGGTTACGTATCATTCCCCTGATCTGCCACATGGAGGAAGCAGAGAGTCTCCTCCCTACGCAGCCAGGGAGGGAGGGGAAGAGTGCAGCGAGCCGGGGTTCAGGGACCCTGGCTGGCACCCCCACCCTCAGGGGGAGGGTCCTTGGTGCCCAATGGCACTTCTCAGGGGATCCACTCCCCCAAGAGAGCCCCACAACACGAGCAAATCCCTGGCAGCCCAACTGTCTCCTAGTATCTCCTGGGCAGGCGGGGGGAGTGAGCCTGAAGACACCAGCTAGTCTAGTTGCCGGGCTTCCAGAGCAGGCTACAGCATCCCCTGCCTCCTGGCCTCAGCCAGTGCACAGAGGCTCCAAGCCCTCAGCATCAAACACCGAACATCTCTTTACTTTCGATGATGTTGTAACTTTAAGTGCTTTGTGTAAAGTGCTTAAAGTTACAGCATGATTGATAACCTCTGTAAGCACCCACAGGTATTTGTTCTTGCTCTCCCTTCTGCCAGTTAATCCAGGAAAATTATTCTCCCTTTTTTCTTAGGCAAGAAAGAAGAAATCTGGATTATCGATGACTTCATTATTGATGGGAACAACCTAAAGAGTCCTTTTATCCTTCTGGATACATTTGATTTTGGCCCTAAAGAAGATAACTGGTTTTTCTATCCTGGTGGGAATATTGGGCTTTATTGCCCATATACTTCAAAGGGAGCACCGTAAGTGTTAATGAATCCACCTTTAATCAATAACCTGGAAATAAATTGACATTAAATATACTTTTTTTCTACTAAGGAGGAAGATTCTGCTATGGTATTTGTTTCAAATGAAGTTGGAGAACATTCCATTACAACAAGGGATCTGAGTGTGGACGAGAATACTATCATCCAATTCGAGGTACTCACCCATCACAAAGTAACCATCTTGTCTTCCTGCTTAGAGAGTTTTATTCTTTCTGTTTCTCTTTTTTGGTGTTTTCTTTCTTTGCCAGAGATTCTGTATCATTTTTCATAATTGTAAACTATGGTTTTTCTGCTCTTTTGCAAATCTCTTTACTGTGTCTACATCAGGGGTAGGCAACCCCTGGCATGGGTGCCAGAGTGTGGCACGTGAATTCATTTTGCTTGGCATGAGCACCTCAGGGCAGACGGTGGGGAAGGGGCTGGGGCTTTGCTGCCACAACAAGGATTGGGTCCCTCACAGTCCCCCACTCCCCCCACCATCGTCCACCCTGGCACACCAGCATCTTACAAGTTGAGGTTGTGTGTGTTTTTGGCACTCTGCCCAAAAACATTGCTGACCCCTGGTCTACATACATGTTGATAACAAATTGCATCCATATTCTTGTCCTCAAACTTGAAGAATTTCAACTGCCAAATAAACTCTGAAGACAAGAAAATAGAATATCAGAATATAATAAAGACTATCATTTTACAACCTGCTGTGACACAGTGTGATGTTGCACTGCCTCCATGAGCAGACCTGGCAGACATATACCAGTAGCAATTCATTTTTTCCTTTATCCTGGCTTATTTGTACTACTGGAACCAAAGTTCCACCCATCCCTGCCCCTCCCAAATCTGTATGGAGGGGAGAGAGAATAGCAGAAGCTGCTTTTTGTCCATCTTGTCCATTAAGGCAAGAGAAGGAGCCAGTAATCGCCTATTACTTCCCCAAGCAGTACAACAGGGCAAGCAGTAATATCTCCCTAAATAAACATTGTCTAAAAACAAATTGAAATTGTATTATTTAGAACAGGGGTGGGTAACATATGGCCTGTGGGCCATATCTGTCCTGAAGAGCCATTGAATCTGGTTCAGAGCCAAGCAGGACTTTGTTAGCTTTCAGCCATGGGCTGCAGGAACCTTCTCCCATGTTGCCCTGCAGCTAGGTAGTAGGAAGAAGTGGCAGTTGTGGCCAGGTCCTAACACTGGTCCTCCTCATACCTGAGCTAGTCATTTTGGTCCACTACCAGAAAAACATTGCCAATTCCTGATTAGAGAGTAGTAACTTTGAAAGTCCTAGTAAGGTATACAAACTTGGTTGAAAACTAGGAGCATATAAGGAGCCAGTCCTACAAACAGTTCTAGAAAGCATAATATTTACTATCATACAGTCAGTGGGACAACTCATGGGAATAACCCTAAGGCATGGGAGTTCATTTGTGGAATCTATTGAAAAAAGATACTTTAAAGATATATATATTTATATACATTTTGTATGTGTTTAGCATTTAATTAGGTCATAGGACATACCATCTTTATGCAACAAATGATATAAGCTTGTAAACTGTTGCTAAAACGATAGTTAAAGTAGTCCAAGAAAATTAGATTTGGCTGTGTACTCATGCACATTGCAATCTGTCATGCAACTGTTTCATAAAATATTGAACATAAACTGTTTCCTGTTTTAAAAAATAGATGAAAAGGCTGTAGAAAAAATCTTTGAGTTCACATTAAGATACTGTAAGTCTGCAGAGTGTTAACCTCATAAGACCTATATGCGGGTTTTTTTGCATTTGGTACCAGCATTGTACAAAAAGTTAAATGCTTTCAGCTAAGGGTTTTGAGGACATTAGTATAAATGAAGTGATTTTCATCTATGCTTTATTATTCCATATAGAATCATAGATAATTAGGATTGGCAGGGACCTGAGGAGGTCTAGTCCAAACCTCTGCTCAAAACAGGACCATCCCCAACTACAGTATCCCAGCCAAGGCCTTGTCTAGCTGGTTCTTAAAAACCTCCAAGGATGGAGATTACACAACCACTCTGGGTAACCTGTTCCAGCACTTTACTACCCTCCTAGTGACTACGTTTTTCTTAATATCCAACTAAACTTCCTTTGCTGCAACTTCAGACCTTTGCCCCTTGTTCTGTCGTCTTCCACCACTGAAAATAGTCTAGCTCCATCCTCCCTGGTACCCCCACCTTAAGGTAGTTAAAAGCTGTTATTAAATCCCCTCTCATTCTTCTCTTCTCCAGACTAAATAAGCCCAATTTCGTCAGCCTCTCTTCAGAAGTCATGTGCCTCAGTCCCCCAACTATTTTCATTGCCCTCTGCTGGACCTTCTCCATTTTGTCTACTTCCTTCCTGTAGTGGGGGGCCCAAAACTGGACACAGTACTCCAGATGTGGCCTCACTAGGGCAGACTAGGGCTGAGTAATTACTTCCCTCAATCTGCTGGTGACACTCCAACTAATATAGCCTAGTATGCCATTAGCCTTCTTCACAACAAGGGAAGTTGGCTCATATTCAGCTTTATTGTCCACTGCAACCCCCAGGTCCTTTTCTGCAGAGCTGCTGTACCTGGTGCTGTACCAGTTGCTGTACCTGGTGCATTGGATCGTTCTGTCCTAAGTGCAGGACTTTGCACTAGTCCTTATTGAACCTCATGAGATTTCTTTTAGTCCAGTCCTCCAATTTGTCTAATTTCTGTCTGAATCCTAGCTCTACCCTCCAGCATATCTACTACTCCCCACCCAGCTTGATGTCATCTGCAAACTTGCTGTGAGTGCACTACATCCAATCATCCAAGTCGTTGATGAAGATATTGAACAAAACCAGTCCAAGGAATGACCCCATGAGGCACTCCACTTGATATCAGCTGCCAAGTAGACATCAAGCCATTGATTTACTATCCTTTGAGCTTGACGATCCATCCAGTTTTCTGTTCATTTTAAAGTCCTTTCATCCAGCCTGTACTTCCTTAGCTTGCTTGCAAGAATGTTGTGGGAGACAGTATCAAAAGCATTGCTAAAGTCAAGGTATATCACGTCCACTGCTCTCTCTGCACCCACAGAGCCAGTTATCTCATCATAGAAGGCAATCAGGTTGGTGAGGCATGACTTGTCCTTGGTGAATCCATGCTGACTCCTTCTAATCACTTGCCTATGATTAGGCTGTGAATCCATGCTGACCTCGCCTGTGAAGACTGGGTGAAAAAAGCACTCAGTACTTCAGCCTTTTCTACATCATCTGTCAATAGGTTGCCTCCCCCATTCGGTAGGGGACCATTATCCTCTTCTTCCTGACATACTTGTAGAAACCCTTCTTGTTACCCTTCATATCCCTTGCTAGCTGCAACTCCAATTGCGTTTTGGCCTTCCTTCATTCCTGCATGCCCATGCAAGACTGTTATGCTCCTTCCTAGTCATTTGTCCATGTTTCCGCTTCTTGTAAGCTTCCTTTTTTTTGCTCACTTAAAAGTTCCCTGCTAAGCCAAGCTGGTTTTTTTACCATTCTGGCTAGTCTTCTTGTGCATTGTGATGGTTCATGCCTGTGCCCTCAGTAAGATTTTTTTAAAAGACAACCAGCTCTCTTGGACTCCTTTCCACCTCAAACTGGCCTCCCGGGGATCCTGCCCATCAGTTCCTGCAGGAGTCAAAGACTGCTTTTCTGAAGCCCAGGGTCCATACTCTGCTACTCTCCTTTCTTTCTTTTGTTAGGAGCCTGAACTCGATCATCTTGTGCTCACTGCTGCCGAAGTTGCCATCCACTTCTGTGCTCCCCACCCGTTCTTCCCTGTTTGTGAGCAGCAGGTTAAGAAAAGCACAGGCTCTAGCAGGTCTCTCCAACACTTGTATCAGGAAGTTGTCCCCAACACTCTCCAAAACTTCACTGCTGTATTGCCCTCCCAATGGTGACTGAAGTCCCTCATGATAGCCAGGGCCTGTGAGCAGGAAACTTTAGCTAGCTGTCTGAAGAAAGGCTCATCCACCTCATCCTCCTGGTAGCCTGGTGACCTATAGCAGACACCCACCACAACATCACCATTGTCGCTCTCCCCTCTGACCTTAACCCAGAGACTTTCAACAGGCCTATCTCCAGTTTCATACTGGAGCTCTGAGCAATCATATGACTGTTTGACATAAAGCTTAACTCCTTGTACTCTTCTCCCCTGCTTGTTCTTCCTGAACACTTTATAGCCATGTATGACAGTGCTCCAGTCATGTGAGCTATCCCAAGTCTCTGTTATTCCAAACACATCATAGTTCTGTGATTGTACAAGGACTTCTAATTCCTCCTGCTTGTTTCCCAGGAGCTGTGCATTCAGGTGCAGACATCTGAGGTAACCAGCTGATTGCCCTACTTTCTCAGGAAGAATGAGAAGACCTCCCCTGTTGCCCCCTCCTGCTTGTGCTATGTGAAATATTTTATTTTGTATGACATCCTATAAGGCTAAGTACAGATATTTGAAAAGCCCAAGCCTGAATTGATTCAATCTTTGCAGGTTAATCTAAGCTGCATAGATTGAACCAACAAGCAAGTTAATACACATTCACTTTTGATTTCAGAAATGCAGCCACATGCCCACAGTGGCTCAGAATGAGTCCTCCCTTCCCTTTGCCAATGGCCCAAAAGCTGAAGGAAAGCTGAGCTGGAGGGGGAGGGGTCATGGCCAGGCCCCAGCAGGCTGAGTATGATTGGTTTAAACCCTCAACCTGGTCTGCAGGGACTCCAGCCAGGCTGTGCCTGGACAGGAAAGGGGGAAGCAGCCCTTGCCAGGCTGCTCCCCGAGCAGTGGGGGGACATGGCCAGCAGTGGCTGACCCAGGCAGTGTCTCAGGTGAAGGCAGGGAGGGAGGGGACTTAAACCCCCCTGCCTCCCCTCTCCCACAGGCACAGAACCCCAGCAGGGGTCTGCCCAGCTTGTGCCCCCTGCTCACAGCTCAGCATAGCCCAGGACCCCCAGAACCTCCCACCCAGCCAGGGGGCAATCCTGCTGCACCCTCCCAGCCTCTGAGATGGGGGTTTCACTTGGGGCAGCCTTAGAGCAAAGGCCAGATCAGGGGGAGGGAGGGGAGCGAAACTGGCCTCAAGTCCAGGTGGGGACATGCACAGAGGGCGCTCATCCTGGATGTGAGGCCCACCGAGCAGAGGGACCCAGGTTGGGAGGGGTGGGGAAGGGGCTGGAGTATGTATCCACGCTAGCCCAGGGCAAAGCCAAGCCAAGCTGATCATGCAGCTCCTGCCCAGTGGCCCCTTCTAACTGCTGGAGAGTGGCACCTGGGCCAGCTCTGGCCCCCACAGCAGCCTGCATGGCACAGGCATGCCCCAGCAGCTCCCGGGGGGAGCTTGTTGTCTAGCGCCTGGACAACAAGGGCACCAAAAAGCTGGGCAGTGTGATGCTGGAGGCCAAGCCAGGCCAGGCACTGGGCTCCTTCACAGGCCCCAAGGTAGATGAGTGCAAGGGCTCCCCAGGCAACAAGAAGGAGATTGCCACACCCACTACCACCACATGGCATTTGCTGGATGACCTCAGCCCTAAGTGCTAACATTCGCTGTCCGCCGGACCACCGAACTGGGAGCGCTCTCACTCTTCACCTACCCAGCAGCGGCACAGCACAGCCCCATGTACCAGGTGCCTGACACAGGATGCTACCCCTACAGCTTCCCTGCCACCACCACTGTCTGCCCATCCAGTGGCCGACCACAGTTCAGCGGTGCAGGCAGCATGGGCAGTACCTACTATTGCTATCAGGTGGGCCCCCCCTGACAGCAGTGGCAGTGGTGGGGAAGTTGTAGGGGTGTGCCCCACACCTGGTACACAAAGCTGTGCTGCACTGCTGCTATGCCACCAGGTAGTTGAAGAGTGAGCAGGATGCACCCAACTCAGTGCCTGGCAGCCCAGGGCACAGCAGGTAGTAGTGCTTAGGGCTGAGGCCATCCAGCAAGTACTGTGCAGCAGTGGTGATGGGTGCATCCGGCTCCTCCTCACTGCCCGGGGAGCCCTTGCACCCATCCACCTTGGAGCCTGTGAAGAAGCCCTGTGCCTGGCCTAGCTTGGCCTCCAGAATTGTACTGCCTAGCTTCTTGGCACTCTTGCCCAGCTCCAGGTGCTGGTAGGTTGAGACCACACTATGCACGCCACTGTGTGGGCCAGGGCCGGGGCCAGCCTGGGTGCTGCTCTCCAGCAAGTAGAAAGGGCCAGCTGCCAGGTAGGAGCTGCTCCCCAAGCTGCATGCTCAGCCTGGCTCAGTTCTGCCCTAAGCTTGTGTGGACACACACTCCAGCTCCTTCCCCGCACCTCCCCCCACCCCCCTGCCTGTGTCCTTGTGCCCAACAGGGCTCACATCCAGGATGGAGCTGCCGCTGCTGCAATCTGTGCATGTCCCCACCTGGGCTTGGGGCCAGTTTCACTCCCCTTCCTCCCCCCAATCTGGCCTATTGCGCCTGGGCTGCCCCAAATGAAACCGCCACCCCAGCAGCTTGGAAGGTACAGCAAGATCACCCCCTGCCTAGGAGCAGGACTCTGAGGGTCCCAGGCTGTGCTGAGCCATGAACAGGGAGAAAAAGTCAGGCATACCCTAGCTAGGGTCCCATGCCTCTGGGAGAGAAGAGGCAGGGGGGTTTATCCCCCTCTGCCTGAGCCTGCTGTGCCACACCCCTGCCCCCTCCACTCCAGCAGGGAAAAGTCTGGTAGGGGCTGCTCAGCCCCCCCCAGGCAGACCAGGCTGCATCCCTAGCTGGGTTTCCCACCCCCACCCCCTTGTCAGCCAGCCCTCAGTGCTCCAACTAGGAAGCAAAAGGGTGGGGCCAACCCTGCTCTGCTCGAGGAGACACCACAGCACAGCCCAGGGCTGCAAAGCATCCTGGGATGCTGGGGGACTGATTTAACTTGAACCAGGAAGGAGTCTCTGACAGAAGTTCTGTAAACTGGTTTGACCCAAATCAGTTATGTCTGATATTACATTCAACCAGGTTGATCTTAAACTAGTTTTGCCCATTTTGAAACTGGTTTATATGCACTGAACTTCTGTTCTGTTACAGGTTTAAACCAGTTTCTGATCACTTAAACTGGTTTAGGTGTAACCTCTGTCCCTAGCCTGATTGAATAACAATTCTGATTCCATTCAGAATAGTTAAAACTATGTCTTTATACCTGTCACCTTAACATAAATGGTTTGGACTGAAAGAACACTTTCATACAGGTAGAGAGAGATCAGATCATTTATCGTTATGGCCTTGTCTTAACAAGTTTTAGTAGCTTTAGAAAACTACAACTTAGAATTTTTAAGCATATTAGTATAACAACTGAGCATATAAGATTTCTACTATTCTTTGTGTTTGGGATCCCACAACAATTAGTGAGTTTTTTAGCAGACCTGAGCTATGTTTCTAGTTTGGCCTAAAAAGCAATTCTTATCCTAATTATAATACTGTTTTCAGTGCTGCCTCTTAGGCCTGGATAGGATAAATATGAAAAACAGGTAATGAATACCAACTATGAATAAAAGATTGAAATGATATGGTACACTCCTTTCAGAGCAATTCCTGTGGTGTAAGTCCTTCTGTTTTTGGAGCATTCCAGCATAGAAAACCACAATGTGCTTAAGGATAATTTAACTGACAATGAATGTTTGCATATTTTGTGCATTTTAAATGCCTATTCTCTCTGTCACTGTGTTTAGTTCAGTGGTTCTCAACCTTTTTATACTAAAGGTATCCCTTGAAAAATGCCAGCTCTTATTTTTCACTCATTTTTTACTACAAGAAAAATAGAACAATTCTTCTGTTGCAAAGAACTCAGAAGTCCCACAACAGGAATGTTTTTAACACTATGGATTCCTATATGAAATCTCTGGGTTTATCTTGTGAATCATGTTTGTATACCTACCAGTACTAACATGACATGGTACCCCACAGTAACCTTGAAAGAATCCCAAGGCACCCCCTGAGTACTGCAGCACCTGATTGAAAACCACTGGTCTAGTACATTCTCCAAAAAAAGTAGTACCAGAGCTGTTGCAGTTGCTTTGGACATGCTGTTAGGGGCAGCAGATCTCTTTTGTTTTTGCTTAATTAGAAACAAGTTTTGCTCTTGCCGAAATCTTTATGCATCCAATTAATTTCTTAGTAATAGCAACGCTTGATTTGACTATGATGATCCAGATGTTGATATGCCCTTCGATAGCTGGATAGGAGGGCAGTGATAAAAGGACCTCCCCTCTGTTTTGTGCCCTACGTGTAACAGCCATTTATTATTTCAGTCCTCTAATTTGAGTTCCAGGATCATACGTTAGCACAGGGGTGTCAAACTCATCTGGCCCTGCAGGCCAGTTGATGGTGCAGATCTGGTCTACAGGCCAGATCAAACTCCCAGCCTCCCTTTCTCCTCCCTGCCCCCCACATGCTAGATCCAGTATGTGGTACCTGCTCCAGGACCCCCACTACATGCAGTCTGGTCTGGTCTGGGATCCACACTGCAGATGGCACCCCCCACACACACCAGTCCAGGACTGCGCCACACACAGCACCTGCTCCAACCATTCCAGGATCCACTCTGCATGAGGGTTCCTGGTTGCCACCTGCAGCATGGGTTCTCGATCAGGCACACAGGACTGGCCCAGTGCACGGCGTTTAGGGCAACTCAGATGACGGTCACCACCACAGGCTGAATGTTGGGGCTTGGCAGGCTGGATCCAACCCATGGGTTATATCTCTGAGAGCCCTGCATTAACCTAAGGGGCACAGCAAAGATGTTGAACCACAGTACTCTTAAAGATACCCTTAAAGAAAAAAGCAAGAAACCCACTAGGCTGCCTACCTGAGCTCCCATGGACAAGCAAAACTCTATACTGTATGAAATGCAGAAGGAAGGACTATGGCACTGTGTAATATCTTTTTTATTGTATTTCTTTTACTCTAGATCAATATTGGATGCACCACAGACAGCTCATCTGCTGACCCAGTGAAGCTCGAATTCTCACGAGACTTGGGGGCAACCTGGCACATGCTTCTGCCACTCTGCTACAGTAGTAGCAGCCATCTCAGCTCGCTATGCTCCACTGAGCATCATCCAAGTAGCACGTACTATGCTGGTACAACTCAGGGCTGGCGAAGAGAGGTAATTCACTTTGGAAAACTGCACCTATGTGGGTAAGTGACTTCTAATTCTGCCAAGGACTTCTTATTTTTATTTTTAGTTAATTTTCTATCCAGCATTTTCTCCAAGAAACATATCAATTCATGAAAACCAATCTAGTCTCATATCTTTTCTTAAACAGCCTCTAACACTTGGATAGTTCACAGAAATGTATAAGTCTCAATAATACACCTAAATGTACATTACTGTACTCTTTCTGAAGGTGAAGGATTTTGATCTGGCTACATCTCACATTTTACATCTTGAAGCATGAAGACTGATTGTACTTGGGATCATAACTTAGCTACTGTGGTACAACTGTAGATATTTCCATTTATCTATGTGTCTGATTTTATTTGGATGCTTACTAAGATGTGTGAGATTAACTTATATCAGTGATTGTTACAGCAGTACCTTGCATTGGAAAGACAAAGTAAAATGGCTCAGATCTCCTTAAGTCCTCTCTCACTATAGATCTCTAGGACAAAGAGGCATGCAGTAATTCATCAAAAGTATTCTTGCATTTCAGGTCATAGAAATACTTGACTTAGTGCAGGAAGAGGTATTAAATAGTTCTTTCCAGCTCTAATGTTACTATGGCTTTATGGTCACAACTGATTGATCAAAGAAGATCAAATATTAATAAATATCCAGCAAATAAAAGTAGGGTCAGAGGGATGGCTTTGAATTATTCTCTCAAGAAACTATATGTGTTTTGGTAATATCTTATTGGACTAACTATGTAGTTCGGAGAGATGTTAGGTAAGTTTTCTGACACAAAATGCAGCAAGCTTTCTGACACAATGGCAGCAAGCTTCTTAAACTTGGCCTGTAGTCCCTATTACCTCCAGAGAGCAAGAGAGTACCAAGTGTACAAAGTTTATACACAGCACCTGGCCAGGGAAACTCATTGCAAGCTTCTGGGGTTCCCCTAGCTCAGTTTCCCCATGCATAATACCCTTATTTCACCATACCTGTGGGAAAGCATGAACTGGAAAGTGTTTTGTAAACATAAACTTGTCTAACATCTCTCCCAGCTGTATAGTTGCTTCAGTAAATGATCGTACTAAACAAATCCCAATTTCACGTATTCTCTGGACAGTTAGGGGTACAACATTACAACAACACTACTGTTATTCTCTCAAAACCACATTTCTATTTAATTTGTTCTCCTTCCTTCTCATATCCTGTTATTCCTTATATGCAGCATGGATATGTTTAGCACTGATAATACAAATTAAAATGGAAAGTCAACACTCCAAGGAGTTTACAATTTAACGGAACAACTTGTAACATCAATTGCTTTTAAGAATGAGCTATATGAAAACAGGTTGAATATCTGTTGACATCTCCTATTATGTTTTCATTCCTCGTAATTTAAGGTGATATTGTGTCACCCTTCTTCTACAGCTGGCTTATTGTGACTAATTGTGAAATAAGATGTCACTGAACATGAGCAGGTGGAGCAAATCTGGTTCTTAGATGTTTAATTAAAACAAAAGTAAAGCCACCCAAGTCCAATAACATACTCTCTGAAACTGGTGGAGTGGAGGATGCTCAAATTTGAAATCCTAGTTCAAGTCCTCCTTTAATTATTTTTAAGGATGGTAACTAGTGGATCAGATTCCTTGGTTTCCTGTAAATAAGTTTGCACTGAATATGAGTATAGTGGCATACTGAATATTGAAGCTAATGGACATGTCTGGCCACTTTTAGCAAATATATTCAGTGAGTTAGTTTAACAAGAAACCCATTGTACTTTCTTATGCAATTGATTTATGTTTGTCTTGGATGTACTATATATCTTTTTCAGATCAGCAAGATTCAGATGGTACCAGGGATTTTATCCTGCTGGGTCACAACCAGTAACTTGGGCTATTGATAATGTCTACGTTGGCCCACAGTGTGAGGAGATGTGTAATGGTCATGGCAGCTGTGTCAATGGAACTAAATGTATCTGTGATCCAGGCTATTCTGGTCCCACCTGTAAAATAAGCACCAAGAATTTGGACTTTCTCAAGGATGATTTTGAAGGTATCTCTTTGACTGTATGAACTCATCACAGCTATTTCTCTTTACCCTCCTTCTGGGAACACCCAATTAAAGAGATCAAAAATCCTAAGGTCAAATCTTTCTCCCCTTCCTAAGTCTGTCTAGTTTATATCAATAGGACTCTTCAGTTGAGTAAGACAGAAAGTAGAGCTGGGTGACACATTATAAACTAACTGATACACAGAAGCATGTACTTTCATATGCAACAACATACTTCATCAGAAGTTATGAGTAAAGCGAGTAAAGTGGTCAGGATTTGGCCCTTAACCAATATTTATGACAACTGGATGTTTCTGACAGCACTTTTTTATGGCACTTCCTGCTATTTTCTAATCTATGGCTACAGAAACACACATTCTCCACTGGAATTCAGTTTTCTGAAACTCTACAGCTAGAAAAGCAATTCATTTTTTCACAGTAATGGATACACAGAATTGCTGGCAAGGGAAATCTAAGTGAATTCACTGAAAACTGTGAATACATCATTAAAATTAATGTTGTCTGCTGGTAATAATATTAGTTCATACACTCAGATATAGAATAAATTAAAATGAGATGACCAGAGGACTTCGTAGCAGGGTAGTCTATTACTGCACAGGGATTCTGAGTTAATGATATAAGTACTGTAAAATTCCTCAGCAGAAGCCTTAGAAAACCAGACCGTATCTTTCAACTTTCCAGTAATTTAAGGAAAGGCACAAAAACTCCAATTGAGAAGCACCAGCCCCTGAAATGAGACGCACTAAACAACACTATTACTATCATGTAGCCCTCCATTACATACTTCTTTCATTTCCCTCCATTGTGGTATTGCCTCCCATTCTCCCTTAAATACCAATCCCTTGACAACATGGGTTGAATGAGGCTTGCCGTCAGGTAGGCCTGCAGACTGATGGACCCTGATCATAATAAGTAGGAGTAGGAGTCTCATGCCACATGCCTCAGGATTCTTTCTCCTCACCCAACAAAAGACAAAATGCAAGTTTCTTCATTTAGAACACAAAATACAAGTTTTAGTTAAAATAGTATTTACAAACCAAATTCCTTCCATCATATTTGTCACTCTTCATTTCAAACTTAGCCAACTGTTACCTGCCATTTGGTACATGACACTCACCTGTTTCCCAGTAGTGTTGGATGTTTTTATGTAATCTAAATAAAAATGTAGGAAAGCCATCAGTCTTCTTTGAGTTACGTTTATTTAGCTTATTTTTGGAGGAAATTGTTATAGTAAGAGTGCCTCAGGATAAATCCTAAATATATACGTGTGTTATGTACTCAGGTCAGCTAGAATCTGATAGGTTCTTGCTGGTGAGTGGTGGAAAACCATCAAGGAAGTGCGGTATCCTGTCTGGTGGAAACAACCTCTTCTTTAATGAAGATGGCTTGCGTATGCTGATGACTCGAGACATGGATTTGTCCCAGGCAAGGTAACACAGTTCTAACAATCTTCCACAATTCTGTTGTGACAATAGCTGAGCAATTCTTTGTATTATGTTTCTAGGGTGATAGAGAGCTGATATAGTTATATCAGAGTAAATCCTTTAGTCTTTACTCAGGCAAACTCCCATTTTAAATCAGTAGGCATTTAAGTCAAAGGTAGTTCTCTGTGGGTAAAAGCTGTAGTATTTGACCCAGCATCCTTTGAAGTTTGTTTATGTGGAAAATATTTTCCTTTCTTGGTGAAATTGGTTTGGTATCATGTGCTCTCCTTATTTTTCATTTTTGTAGCATTATGAATGCTTAAAGTAGGAGCATCAGTTTCTAGTGTAGCTGTTATAGTCATCATTGTGTAATTCCTTAATTTATGAAACTTAATTTCTTCTTATTGTACACATTTGCTTCCAGTAATTCACTGAGAAATTCCAATCAAACTGTCACCGGCTACATTGAGCACAGCCATTTAGAAACAAATATGGCCTGCAGAGGACATATTTAATGAGAGCACGTCTAAAATGTTAACCAAGCAAAAACATACATACATAATACATACATACGTAGTAGTAGTAGTAGTAGTATGTAGCAATTTATGGTCATACCCAGGACCTACACACACACACACATATATAAAGCTGTGTCAATATGTATATGTGTGTGTGTGTATACATACATGTATACACACATATATACATATAATTATACACATATATGTATATAATTATATATATATAGAATCTATATATATACCTATACATATACACACAGATAGATAGATAGATAGATAGATAGATAGATATGTGTGTGTACACCTACACACGTACACACACACACATATATGCCTCGCTGCAGCAGGGAGCTAGACCAGGACTCTGTGCTGGTAAGTAGAGGGCGGGGGAAGGGGGGCTCGAGGAGGGGGG